GGAAGTGGCTTTAGCTTCTCAGTGCAGTGCTTTAACCCGCTGCGCCACCAGGGAGGGCCTGTATCAATTTTTTTATTAGCTATGTATCAATTTTTAAAGGCATATGGAGAGTTAGAGAGCAAAGCAGTGACAAAATAAAGTAAACCTCATTATAATACTAAAGTTAACCTCATTAGCACCTGTTAACACCATCTTTGCAGTATCAGAAAATGTCCTCAGGGAAAGTGTAAGAAAAATTTAGCTGGTAGTGCTGACACTCAAAATGCCACCACAGGAAACATGTAAAATTTTTGGTCCATGGAAGCGGCATACAATTTCACCATAAAATAAAAAAAGAAAGACACAACCTGGTTAAATAAGGTAATCATCCGGGCCAGTGTGGTGAAATTACCCTTGTGGTGGGAGCTGATAAGAGCCCTCCGTTGTCAAAGCAGCAAGAAAGAAGCATGATGTTGGAGGGCTTGCGGTCTTACCTGGCCTGCTGTTGCAAATGATTCAGGTCTGTGCGTACCAGCTGGGTGGCATCCTTTTGGCTCAGAAGCGCGGCTGAGGAGATAACTGGCACGGGAGGCCTCACTGGCTGCAGGACAAGGGGAGGCTGGGGAGCGTCATGCTTCTGCAAGTTACTTAAAACCCTTTCTTTAGCTGAAAGAAAATAAAGTCATATTTACTGAGTGATGGCTTCTACTGGATGATAATGCCCTAGATGGGTACAAAGTCCTGGTCTAGTACCTTCAAAAAGGATGCTGGAGATCAGCAGAATAGTTACTTAAACTACCAGAGGCATAAATGAATAAAATCATCATCTTCTGTTACTTGTAAATTGTGAGGGAGCACACACAGGCTTAATAACATTCTACCAGGAGCTTGGAGCTCGGGAACAAGTGGTATAATTAAGTTGAATTCCTATTCTCAAGTTTTTATGAGAAGTAAAAAGCTAAATGAAGTTCACATCAATTTCCATAGCAGCCTTATGGGATATATTACGTTATTTAGACTTGATCCTAGCTAAAGAGGTGTCTAGAAAATGGCTCCCAAGCAAACTAGAGAAAGTTGTCAGCTATCATCTGGACGGTAATCTGGGGGAGTGGAAGGTAGCTAGTTCACTTAAACAGCTTAATGCAACCATCCAGATAAACTTCTTAGCAATAGGAGAAAAGGAAATGGGCATTATGGAATATAGCTAAGTGAAAAATTCCTAAGTTAGGTCAAGGTTTGAATGGAAGAGCTGAGAGTAGCAGAACTGAAATGAGTGAGGATATGAGCAAAAACCCCTGCAGAATTTGTATTTTGTAATCAACTTATCATTCATTCATCATTCACTCAAAAAATGATTTATGGAGTCCAAACAAGAAATCAGGGGCCACCTAAGAAAAACAAAGGTAAATAACCTGTTCCATGCATTTCTGCACTAGACTGCACATGGTCCTCACACTGACTGATCCAATTCAAATGTTTTTATTTTTATGCTTAGTACAGAGCTGAACACACAATAGGTGTCCAAAAAATCCCAAATTGTCCTCTCTCTTTCTTATACAGGCAAATACCAAGCAGCAGAGACTGAAGAATATGAAGAAAAATGCTGACTTTTTCCAAATGTAAGGCCGCAAAGATCAAAAGAGGTTGAGGGAGTTTCAAGTCACTAAAGTCAAGCTAACAAGTACTTAAGTGATGACTATGAATTCCAGATTTCATTCCAGATATAGCATTCAATTTTCTATTCTATTCTTAAGACAACTTTATATAGCCATGACATTACTTGGCTTAGAAGGACTTGATTGTTTGCAACCCAAATAGATGGACTTTAACATTCCAAACAGGTCAAGGAAGAGATGGCCCTTGGAGCTGGGGTTTTTCCACCAGAACTGCCACTCTCCAGAGTCTAACAAAGTTGGCTGTTCATCCCTGGCTAAAACTCCTGTCTATGTTCAAGTCTACTTCAAGAAATATTTTCTTCAAAAAATTTTGATTCTAAGGGAAGACTGGACACTCTTTTTCAAGTCATATATAACTTACCATGAGTGAAAAATCAAGGGTAATATTTTAAATATGAAAGAAAAGGGGAAAAATTTAAATCAGAGTATATTTAACTGTAATCACCACTGAAAGTTATAACTGGCAAAAATTATCAAGCAAATAAAACAAATTTAATTCAGAAAATGAGGTTAGTGTCACAGACATAAAATAACTTGTGAAGCCTGGCTGAAATTTTTCCTACAGTCACAACCACAAGATACTATCATGTGAGAAAAACCTGAAACTTGTTATTTCAAGATCTAAGTCTTCATTTGATTTAGCACTGCAACCTGTACTGCTGGCCAGAACAGGAGATAGAACAAGACGGGCAGAGCAAGGTCCTGGGAGCCAGATGGCTCTGCCACTTACCAGCTTTATGACTTTGGTGAGCCACCGCATCACCTTATCCTGAGGTTCCTTATCTGTTCAACAGGTAAACTTCCTAAGGCTGGTGGAAGGACTGAGGTAATGCATATGAAACATAGGTTTACCCTGCTTTCCAAAAACAGCTTTCCTATTTGGTATAATTTGGTAGGTTTATTTTTTGGATCTGTAAACACTATTAGCAAAAATTTATACGAAAAAAAAAAAAACTGAGTTTTTCCAGACGCAAAAAACTAAAGGGGGGTGGGGGGAGCCAGGGAAGGCAGAGAGGCAAGAGAGAGGGAGGGAGGGAAGGAGAGGACCTGTACTGGGATGGCATCTGGAACAAAAACTAAGGCTTAATAAATTCCTAGCTTAACTCCACAGAAAACAAGCAGTCTTTTAGGACAGTGTTAAGGGATCATGAAAGCCCACAGATTGGAGAACTCACAAAAGCATTCAAAACTTCCAGCTTTAGCCCCCTGGTGGCCTAGTGGCTAGGATCTGGCACTCTCTCTCTCTCAAAACTTCTAGCTTCTACAACCATATTACCTATTCTCATTTAATGTATTCTATTTTAGGAATAGAAATGAGAGTAAGGTTGGGCTCAGTGCAATTTTTATACCTTCTCTTCTATACCTTTCTGTATTGTTGATTTTTTTTTTTTAAAGATTTATTCATACAGAACTGGGGTACAGGCCAGAGATGCGGAGGGTGAGAGGATTCACCAGAGACAGAGCGGGGAGCAGAACTGGCAGATCGACAAAGTACACTGCTGAGGGGAGCAGCGAGAGGGTCAGGAGAGGTCTGCCACGCCATGTGGTCACCTCCAGGGCAGGCAGGGCTCGAACTCATGCGGAAGTGGCTTTAGCTTCTCAGTGCAGTGCTTTAACCCGCTGGCCACCAGGGAGGGCCCTATTGTTGATTTTTTTTAATGAACATCTATAACTTGTATAATCAGGAAAAAAAATCCTACTATTATTTCAGGGGTAAAAGCAAGGAGAAAGATCTTGGAGGGGAGAATTTTACAGCCTTACACAAGACAGTTCAGCAACATCCTTTTACAAATCAGTGAAATAAAGTCAAAAAAGGTTCTCCTTTTTCTCTGAGTGCACAGCTAATGAGCTGGGTAGTGGCAGAATAAGAAAGATATTTTTGTCTTTTGAATATTGAAGAATCACTTCAGCATTCTACTATAGTATACATTATAATATTTTGTTAAATTTTATTTATAATCCCATGTTCTACACTTAAAACATTCAGTAATTAAAAATGACTCCAAATATTGTTTTCTATTACATATTGTTGTGCAGTATGATATCACCTTTGCTAGTTAAATGGGCTTTCATGGCCTCGCATAGAAGTGAAGTGATAATTTATAAAGTGGTTTCTCTTGCAAAATACACAATGATAAAACACCCAACTTAGAAACTTTGGGAACATGATCCACTTGTATGATAAGAGTTCTAGATATAATACAAAAGGGATTATAAAAGAAAAAAACTTCTAAATTTTAAAACTGTAAATCCAAAATAACTGAATGTGAAATTGTATTTTACATAGTTTTTTAAGTCAATTGAAATATCTTTAAGGCATCATAGAGAAAATGAAACACAAAGATAGTATGTCACTTGCCAGCCAGGTAGAAGCACATGCCTTAGTCGGGGCAATGAGAAATTAGAAAATTTGTGAGCAGCTTCTAAGTGTCCTGCTAAGTGGAATGCTTGAGCAGCTGTTTTGGGCCTCAGTGCATTTACAGATGAGATTAGTGGGACAGCAGAAGAGGAGGAACAGGAGCCCCCAAAGACTTGTTGGTCATAAAACTACTGCCTTGAACTGCTGGCCTCCAGACTCCATTACTAGTTTGGAGTTTTCTGTTACTCACAGCCTAACCTAACTCTAAATAAAGTAGAGAATTAACAATGGATGCCTAAAAAAAGGAATTCTCACTGGAGAGATACATTGTGCAAACCTTAATTAACTCTCCATGGCTTTGAATCAATAAATCATATCTGTTGGTTCACTCATCCATCCAAAGATGCTAGTGGGTAACTGACTCACCCAGTAAAGGATCGGTGAAGTCCAGTTGCACTGACAAACTGCAGGGTGTGGAATGGGACTCAAGCTTGGCCTGTGTCCACAGACTGACACTTTCTTGAAACTCATGATGTATGCGCTCCATGTTCAAATACTCCATCCACAGATCCTAAGTGTAAGCACAAGATTTGACATGTCATAGATGAGTCATAAATTCACATAAAACTATAAATTTAACCATAAAGGGAATCAGTGATGCAAATTCTCCAACAGGATGAACTACACTTAAAATGGGCACTCTTGAAATCTTTGCAGGAACCTTAAAACTTTTTGTGTACCAGGATCAGAAAAATAATTTTAACAATCTTTCCAAACCAACATGCATAAGGCATTACAGACTCCAAATCAGCCTGATCACAAGCCTGAATCCAAAATGCACCAAAATGTTCCATGTGCTATATCAGACCCTGTGTATATATATGTACACACACATACATACAGCTAGGGAATATATATAAAATTTATATATATATATATATATATATGTACTGTGTATATATGCCTCCTATGAATTGGTCATGATGTAAAATAACTATTGACAGAGATTAATGATTAGAGAAGAAAACTGAAATATTCTGAATACTAAAATATGGGTAAATGACTCAGAATCTACAAAAGGACAAAACAACTCTTAACTTGAATTTATGATAAAAATAAGAGTGATCAAATCAAATTGCAAAGATATTTTTTTAAAAGCAATTAATTTTGTAGATGCTGGAAACCTAGATCAATATCAAAGAAACAAGTTTTAAAGCACTGGCCAAGTACCTACTACACACAAGTCCATAGATTAAACATCGTGGGGTAGAGCATTAAGATAGGTAAGGAACTGCACTCAGAGAATTTCAGGATACCATGGCTTAAATAATAATTTTTCCTTATTTTCTCTGCACTTATATTCTCAGCCTTATTTCTCTGCTGTTATATCCCAGGGGACCACCTTCAATCCTCTTCATCTAAATACTCTACATACTCACATTTATTATACTGCTCCATTCCTTCATTTTAAGCTAATACATCCCCTAAGCTTTGCCAAAAGTTCTCTTTGAAGCCTCTCAGGCACTTCCTCTTCCAGTATCCTTAATTTTGCTATCAGCACCTCTAGCTGCTAAAGCTACAAATTTGAGAGTCCTTGTATATCTAGTCAATCCTACTACTGTACCAACCCTACTGTCTATCTAATCTAAAATTCTGGCTGATCCTACTAATTTTTCCTCAACATAATTTACCTATTCAATTAATCACCCCTGCTCTTTCAATAGCTCTCCAAACGAAGACTTTAGAATAAATACTTTTTTAGAAATCTGACCCCTATTCACCTCTCTGGCTGTATCTGCCCTGTTGAACAGCTATGCCCTTAGCTGCACCTTTCAGAACACACCATTCTCTCTCACCTGCTGTGGCTCTGCACACATGGGTCATTCTGCTGGTGACATCTGCCACTGTTCCATCACCAGGCCTTTCCCTTCAATTTGACCAACTCTCATTTATCCTTTAGGGTTTAGTTCAAAAGTCACTCTTGCCTGTCTGAGCCAGGTACTGCTCCTCTAAGGCCCACAAGCCCTGTGCATTCCATACCAGTCTATCACCAGGTGAAAATTGCTGATCCCATTTAACAGTGAACCCTGTGGTGGCAGGGTCTGTATCAGGCTTCTTTTCCTATCTCTGGCATGAGATACATGGCACTTAAAGGTACACAACAAAAAATCATAGAAGGAAAGAAAAAAGATGGAAAGGGAGAAAAAGAAAGAAAATAGAAGAAAGTCTGAGATGACTGCTAGAGGTGAAATACTATGTGTAATAAGGAAGTGGCTAAGTTTAAAGCTCCAAGTTAAACTCTCGCCTTAGGTCTTCCTAAGTGTTGGGTCAAAGCCCAGCAGACTTCAGTCCCTACAGGAAAGGATCTAGTCTTAAAGAGGTAGTTTCACACATATGTACACACACACACACACACACACACACACACACACGATGGTTATTGAAGAATACAGAAAACTTAGAAAAACTTAAGTTTTTGGCTTTAAAAAGGACCACAGACATCTTTGGGCACAAATAAATAGCTTAGAATATGTTAAGACTAAAACTGATAGTCTCCAGAATAGCAACCAAAAACTATGATACCTGGAAATCATTTCCAAAGTAAACAAAGATGAGCTCTTAACTCCTCCATGCAATTAACTTACTATAAACCATTTGACTCTTAATGAGATGATGGCTTAAGAGCATTCAGCAAGCTGACACTTTCAAGCAAGGAAGAATGGAGTTAGAAGAAGACTGTGTTTATGAGACAGGAGAAGCCATAGATCAAGCCTCTGCTCTTTAGGTGGGTTCGCACAGGAGCCAAGATTCAAAAGGGAATAATTCTTCAACAACACCACTTAAAACTTACAAAAACCACAAAAACAATGACTATTTAGGTAACCAGGTTTTCATATTAGTAAGTGGTTTTACCATTGGATTATAAATGTGACCAATTCAAATTACAGTCAGATACACCAAAAGAAAGAGAGTTTCACCTGCTGATTCTGCATCACTTTTGCTAGCCTGTGAGTATCATAATGCTTTGGTAGAGAAGGGATATAGGTATCTCCTTTTTGAAAAGTCTCATCTTCTAGCCATAACATATATACATTGAAGAGCCTAAAGGGGAAAAAAAAACACATAATTACATAAACTATAAAAAAGATGTGCAGATACATATCAGTTTCTTATATCTTTGGGGACACAGGCACCACTCCACAGGAGAAAAGCACATAATGAACAGAAGATTTTTCCAGCAACCACCACATTCTCCAGAAGATCATGGTCCAGAGGGGAGAAACATGGGTGGCAGATCACTAAAACAGGATTGAACTGCTGAAACAAACAAAACTGTGAAGAAAGACTCTAAACCCCATGATAACAGTAGGGAACAGCATACAGAACAAGTAGGGAAGGTGATTTTAACACAGATCTGAACGAAGAGCTTTTCTTTCCTGGGCAATCCAGTCACAGTGAGCCTTAGTGCTTGGAAAGTTTAAGTAACATTCAAATAACACATTTACTGTCTTTCAGAGAAAACATTAAAAGCCTAATTTAACTTATGCGTAAGGAGAACTTGCCAGCTTTAGATTCCGATTATGACCTATCTCTTGCCCCAGGGGATCATAAAGCTCACAGCGTGTGTGCACCCACTTCCCAATAAGGACTAGAACAAAGCCCGGAGAAAAAGGTCGAGGTAAATCTCAATTTTCCCATAAAAACTTTTTTAAGAACATTTGATGTTTCATTTGTTGTAACAAGGAACACACAGTCCAGTGGCAAAGATCCCTGGCATGTTAAGCAGTTGTTTGCAGCAACAGACACCAGAGGAGTTTGCAGCACACTAACTCCTTGGTACGGAACCTGGAGGTGGTATGGCTTGGCTTAGCCCAAGAAAGTGAAAAATCATTTCCTCTACCTCCATGACAGTCTGTGTAGAAAGAGAAAGGAACCAAGCTTTGAAGCTCTTAAGGGAGAAGAGCTGGCACTAAGGTCTCTCTAGCTTCCAATTCAGTCACTTGATGCCAGCCATAGTTCCACATACCACGGCAGAAAGGGATGCCAAAGACTTTCTTGGCTGATTTAAATGCTCAAGGATAAATCCTTTCCACTGGTTAAGGTTGGTTAAAAATAAGTTTTCCTTCAAGCAAGCTAGATAAGGGTTCCAAGAAATCAAAAACTCATTCTGGAGGTTAAGAGATTAGCTCGAGGGGCTTTGAGATAGCCAAGTCTGAACTCTCAGTGCTGGATCAAAACCCTGGGTATCTCCACCATCTTTATATTCAGGATTAATTGGGAAGCGTTATTTTGATGCAGTCTTCTTTGAAAGACTAATACCTGACATACCAAGTTTATTAAATCAAGGGGGAACAAGCAGTGTGAAAAGGGGCCCAAACTTGAGCATTCTAATTTTGGGGGATGTTAATTTGTGCCCAATTTTAAAAGCAGTTCTGGGAGAGTATTACAGTCCTCTAGAAGGTCTATGAACTCTACTGAAAAAAGCCTGCCTTGGTTACTTGTGTCTTTTAGAGCACTTTCCTAGCAGACTCTACTAGTTGTTTACCAGCTTTGAGCAATAATTTTGGTTTGTTCCTATTTTTTATATAAAGAACAGAAGAGGACATCAGTCCGCTGGTGAAGCTCTTCCACTGAGACTCTAAGTATTCTATAGGGCCACATCCAGACTGCTGGTTCACGTCTCCAGAGAAACAGAAACGGGAAAAATCACGTGATATAAGCTGCAGTCAAACCACCTTCCGAGTTCAATCTGTCAGGTTAAGAGAATAGTGTCCAGCAGTCCATAACACAAGAGACAGCTCTAGCACAGTACCTGTAATGTAAGTGGTTAAATAACACTACGTCACCTCACAAGCTCGGTGTGCAGTTCTGGAGAAGTCAGATAACCAGGGGTGCCCGCCTGGCTCACTGGCGGCCCTTCACTGCCCTCTGCTGGAACTCGGAGGGCCTTGCTGGCAGCATGGTGGAAGTCGGCCACCTCGGTCAGGCGTCTCTTCAAGTCTTTCAACAAGTTGACATGAGCAGGACTTTGAAAAAACCTTCTTCCAATACAACCGTCTATGGGTAACCTTAGAAAACACAGGCACAGATTATAAGAGCCACACATGATGCTTGGCACTCAATCGACAAGTCAATTTGCTATGACTGTGTATCTGCCATATTCAACTAATAGTGATTGTTTCTACCCAGTGGTTATTATAAGGTTCTATCAAGATGGTGTATGTGGAAGCATGAAATGCTAAGCAAATTCAAGATGTTATCACCACTTAGAGTTACAAAATAGATTAAAAGCAGTCTCTGTTCTTGAAGAAAATGTACGTGTGTATTGACAAAGTGAGAATTAAAGAAATGAGGGGACTAAACAAGGAGCTGGAGCTACCGAGTAATGGTAGCATGAACAGTTCTAGCTGGCCAGCCCCTCTCTCTGCCCCATGGAAATGTTGGGCACCCTCATGCAAGTCCACGGCGACCAGTCATGACCCTGCTTTGGTGCACCCCTGCTCTAGCCACAGCCCCTGGGTGAGCCCTGTGGCAGTCACACCAGCAGTCAGTCTGGCAGTTTCTCTCCCTTTGTGCTCCAGAGGAGCTAGGCTAATCCTGACACGGTTCCGAGGCAGCCTGCACCTCGGTGGGCATGGCAGGTAGTAAGAGGCTGCATGAGATCTGCTGAAAATTCCAGATAGGTCTTATCTAATAAATGTGTCTCAGGGAGGACGGGTGACTCCTGGTCAGAGAATGAATCTAACTCACCTGCCACCGGGTAAGAACAGAGCAGAGAGCAGAGGTAGGAAAGGACTCACAGGAGCATGCTACAACTCCGGCACGTACCCATACTGCGGTCCGGGGCGGTGGAGATACAGGAGGAAGAACTTCTGCCAAATGAGCGGCAGCAGGGGGTGATCAGACGGCGTGACGAGGGCCTGCTGGGCCCAGCGATAAATCAGCAGTCTCTGGAGGGACGGGACGATGGGCAGCTTCAGCTGTGCTTGGGCTTTCTAGGAGAGAGGCGGGGCTTTGAGCACCCATGGAACGAACACAAGTGCGAACAGCTACTCTTCCTAAGTGATCCAAATGCAATGCTAAATATTTTGTTATACTTTAGTACTATAAAACAAGGGTCATATAAAACTTACTCTTCTAACCTACCAGCTTAAATTTTAACCTCCTTACTATCAAGCCATGGGGTGCAGCTTTTTCTTCTGTCAGAACATTTCAGACTTCAGAAATGAAAAGGGTGTGGTATAATCTCACTTCATTTTCTTCAGATACCTTTACAGTCCTTTGTATGTAAAGTGCTATAGCACAAAGTACGTTTCACTGTCAAACTATCAATCTCCTGAAAACTTAGATTGTAAAAGGACTTCCTAGAATGATAAATTCCTTAACCAAATTCTGGAAGCCAAAAGCAAACTTTATACTAGGGACCCTAAGAAGAAGGTCTTGAATTCTGCAGCTTTTTTCTGTCTTTCTCACACTCTAGTGAGTCCAAAGATCAACTAGGGAGTTTTTTAAAATAAATGTAGCTTGCACTCCAAACTCAGAAACCTATAATCTCAGAAGCTGGGACCTAGGAATCTGATTTTAACAAACTCTCCAGGGGGTGCCAGTGCACGTGGGACATCTGGAAACTACTTCCAAACAGTGGCCACTCCTCAGCTCACACGATGAGCATGGCTTCCCACTATTAGGTTACGACTTGCAAGGTTCAACGATCCCGGGGAGGCAGTATCACTCCAATACAGTTTCAGTTTGGTTTGGTTACTGTACTTTCTCAACATTCATAACAAACGGAGACACAGGGGTGCGCAGCACTAGGTGAGCCCCTCAGCATCCCAGCAGGAACCGTTCTACCACTCAAGTACAGAGCACGATTTTCACCTTTAGAGCTTGGTCGGGGGTAAAAGTAGAATTTATAACCAGCTCCCCCTCAACAACTCTTCGGAGCTGGGAGTCTTCTTCAAAGATGGATTCCATGTTCAGCACTGTCCATGCAAACCAAACCTGTGGGGGTACCAGGTGAACACGAGGGGGGTGAACAGTTGGCTCGGACACAATCTAACCTAATGATCTGCAAATTCACATTTTTCCCACAGATCTCACTCACCAAATATTTTTAGGCATGTATTCTAAAATTAACCTCTTTTCTAGTCACAGATACAAATTTAGATAAACCAGAGGAGTGAAAATGTCTAACTCGGGCCTTCCCTGGTGGCATAGGAGTTAAGATGCAGCATTATGACCCTCTCTGCAGCCAGTGCAACACGAGTTTGATCCCCAGCCAGGGAACTGACACAGCAGCAGACCTCTCCTGTCTCATCCGCTGCTCCCCTCAGCAGTGGATTTTAGTCGATCTGCCTGATCTGCTTCCCACTCTGTCTCTGGTGAATCCTCCCACTCACCCTACCCGCCCCCACCCCATCTCTGGCCTGAACCCTAGCTCCTATATGCATAAATAAGTAAATCTTAAAAAGAAAAGAAGACTAAAGACTACTAAAGACTAAAGACTACTAAAGACTACTATAGCAAAAGAGGATGTCCACTCCATAGCATCACTTGTAAGCCAGCTGCCCATGGTGCAGCGCTGGGGACTGAACCCTGGCAGTCTTGCTCTGGCACCCACTCTTAACCACTGTGCCATGCCCGGGCAGGCACCACAGTCAGATGGGCACACAAGCCTGATCATGAGTTGCCTGAGCCTGAGTCAGTCACCTAACTCCATGATCCCTCAGTCACGGCCTCTGTGAAACCGGAACCACAACAGCACAAACTCAGCAAAGGGCCACTGGGAGGATTGAATAGAAAAATGTTCTTACACATTGTAAGCACTAAATAAATGAGCTATTTTAGGTTAGCATAGCGTGTTAGTGAGGGTGTGAACAGTATTAAAAGAGGAAAGAGGTCCTCGTTGGGAGGACCACCCATACCTGAGTGGGTGCTGCCAAGCCCTCCACGAAGGAAGGGGTGATGTTGCCTGCCACAATCCAGCTCATCAAAGAAGACAGGAGACTCCGGTCACAGTGGTATCCCAAAGCGTTCTACACCAGAGAGAAGATGTGAACAGCGAGAGGAGGTTTTAAAAAAAAAACTTATCCATGAATTTTTTTTTTAAATGCACAACTCTCTTACTACAGTGGAAGATTCTGAAAAGACCTGATTTCAGTAATTAGTCCACCTGCAGCAATAGTCCCTGGCAGTGTAATACAGTCAGATGCAATGAGCAGGGCGCCCAACTTGGCTTTACAAGCACCTGCACTAGTGGATTATGGCTACTGAATCAGACATGGTTCAGGGAAAGCTTTAAGAAAGGCAGTGGCAACAGAGTGGCACTGTGACCTGTGCACAAATACAAGCCCTTGTAGGTGTACCTTATGTTGCTGGTAGAGTAATTTCTGCACACAGTCTTCCTGCATCAGCTGAAAGGCTGTTTTACACAAGTGGTCCATGAGGAAGAGGATGGGTTGTTCTCGGTACCAAAGATGCTGGCTTATCAGAGCCTGCACCCAGAACTCCAACACGGCAACGGGGCCCACTTCATTGGGCTGGGTGCTTACAGATATGTGGGCCTGTGGAGAAGCAGCTTAGGTGACGTGAAAGCTCCTAACCAGACTCTCCTTTGAAGACACCACCACCAAAACCATACCTACCTCCACTACAAAGTCTGCGTCTGTTGGTTTCTTTGGCTGAAAGCACTGTGAAAAGTGCTTTGGAAGGACCAACACATAGATGTGTCAGCTCTAGGGGCTTTAGACTGGAAGGTGGGCGAGGGTGTACCTAGGGGCTTACGAGGGTCCTGACCTGGATCATGCTGTTGAGAAGCTTCACGTTGTCCCCATGGCTGGCTCCCGTCAGGTGCTGTGCCACCTTGTGGGTGACTTGCTGCGTGACACCCTGAGGGACACCGCTGTCCAGGTGTAGGAACAGGAGAAGGTGTGACAGAAACCTGCCAAGCACACAGGACAACTCACTTTACCTTCCAACCACAAGTCAACAGAATGTCCAATTACTTATGAGGGAACAAAAAAATACAGGTCCTGTTTTTAATCAAAGCTCTGTCTGGGTTAAGAGAATTCCGTCAACCTGCAGAAGTGTAGCCAACAGATCCAAGGCACACAAACACTTGCAAGTTTAAAAAAGTTTGAAAAACAACACCCCCAAGTGCTCCCTTTATCTAGTCCACACTCCCTACTTCCACAACAAATACACAGATGATGGCAAACCATCTGCAATCTTGTATTAGGTGTCAACTTGATACTGGGAGGCACACGGGGTGCTAGGGTGACACCCCCACAATAAGTCATGGATGTGACCTCAGTGCCTGGGTGCACCAGGCTCCTTCCTCTCTCAGGGCCTCTGCTTCTGCTGGATTTGCTGCCTGAAATCTCCGCAGCAGCTAACCTGGCAAGCTCTACCACACCCCTCACACCCCACCTGCCCCCACTTCCCCAGAGAACATGTCCTGACCTCTGCCTGCCACCTAAAATACTCCAAACCCATTACCCTTGCTCACAGCACCAGCGTCTTCCTTCACGGCCCTAATATCTGGCAACTGAGGACACGCTAACGTCTGTGCCCAAGGCAGTGCCCGGGCCCTGGCTGGGGTCACGCTGTGCTCCTCAATGCACAGACGTGGCGGGACACAGCGGGCAGCAACACTCGGCTGCTATTGCGCATAAAGGTTCTTCCTGTCACAAGAGGCACAGTCCAGGCCCCAAAGCCCACTACCACATGAAGGAGAAATTACCATGCAAAATCATCAATAACGTGCTAGAAAGAGTTTAGGGGACAAGCTTGTGCAGGCCTTAGAGGGGAGTGGGGAAGCTACAAAGGAAGAAGCATTTGAAAAGTCTAGAAAAACACATCATTATTCAACATTTAATGGGGGGGGGATATATAAATAAACCATTTGGTCTAATTTTAAAATATCTTTTAAAAATAATAAACATCTATACACGATTCATAAATGTTCCAAGAACTGTACTTTATATATCTCCTTACACCCACTTCTATGAAGAGAGGTATTGTCCCAGTATACAAATAAAAACAAAGGTTCTGAAAAGTAGGGATCCTACCTGTGTTCACACATTCGTAAGTGAAGGAGGACACAAGCCTGCCCTAACCGTCCTGGAAGTCATGACTAACCAGAAGATGAGTGTCCCAGACTTGCTTGGTGCCTGAGTGTCAATTTTTAAGAAAAGGACCCTGAGCCTGAACCATTCCCACCAAGCTGACTTTCCTGGGAGGAGCTGGGGCATCTGGAGTTAGTAAGCTCTCCCAGCCACTCCCACCCTGAGGCCCTCTTGAGATGACACACATGGGAACATGCCAGTGCCCCAGATGGAACCCATGTCCCCCACATCGGCCCTCCCCATAGCTACCCAGACAGGTAGTTCCCATCCCACCTCTACACCTTTGCTCACGCTCTTCCCCAGCCTGGCCCCCTCAGACCCTCCTCTCACCAAGGCTAAGCCTGCCTTACGGGAGGAGAAGCTCCCTGGGTCTCGTGGCTGTTTGTAATACTGCGCCTGACCCGGCGGACAAGAACAAGTGCCATGTTTTGCTACTGCTACACTGGCAAAGCCATTTGCTGCTCACTATCAGAAGCACCACTCCCTGGGTTTCAAGGAAACAGCAGTTATTTGGAAGTTAAAGGAATGTGGAAGTAAATGAGAAGAGAAAATATCTTTCCTGAGAATAAAACTGGCACCACTAGTGGAATCACTGTTCACCAACCTGCATTCTCAATTAAGTAGGAAGCCCGTGCCTCATAAAAAACACACTATTGAAAAATCACTCCAATGATTTACTTGAGAAACCAGAGGACAAAGAAATTTGTACTTGCTGGGCTTGTCCACTTACTGCTCGTTTTTCAGAAGGTAATATTGGCAAGGGTAGAACAAAGGCAGAATCTTATCCAGGACATGGACCACTGTTCTCAAATGCCTCGTCTGGACCAGAATTCCCAACAGTGGGATGCCTTCTGCACAGAACTTCTCGATGCTATGGAAAAAGAAAAGGCAATGAGCACATCCAGTAGCTGGGCGTTTCCCCCCGAGGGATCAGCCTCCATGCCACCCAGCTCTCAGGCCTCCAACACATTACTGCGTACCAGTCTTCATACAGGAAGATCAGAACTGGAACTCTGAAAGTATGCAAAGGAACTTAAAAGTCTGTCTGTATCTTTTTTCTAAAGGTGAGATAAGTGAAGTGTCATGCCCAATTCAAATAGCACAAGGTCAAAATGACCACATTAGCGAATGTCTAGTCCAGAGGACCTGCCACAGTGCTATTTTATTTCTCGAACAGTGCTAAGGGGCTCAGGGTTCTCACTGTCTGCACATTCCCACAGGGGATGACACTAACAGAAGACTCCACACGTACAAACTGGCAAAATTCTTTGGGATAAAAATTTACTTTTTCAGATGTGGTACCTATATACAATGGAATATTACTCAGCAACCAAAAAAGAGAAACACATGTCTTTTGCAGCAACTTGGATGGAGCTGGAAAAGATCAT